GCCACGTTGCGCTGCCTGATGCACCCGCGTTTTGCTTCCCTCCGAAGATGAAGCCCAACGTTGATGAAGCCACTGAGCCACGGCGGTAACCGTACTGGTAGGCTGTTCCCTTTCGAACGGGCGGAAGAAGACTACGAAGAATTCGGTAGCGAACGGGCGGAAACTCGATTACGTACAGCTTCAGTAGTCGACGCTTTGTTTTCTCGATTGCGTTCGCGGCGTTCACCGTGGACTCGCGCACTCGGCCGTAGCCGAACCAGCCGAACGGCCGAACCAGCTGGACGGCTGCCGGCGCGCGTACCGACAGCGTCGCCATAGCAACCACGCCGCGAGTGTGGTTGCCAGACAGAATTCACGCGATTTTTTTTTTCTCGTCACTCACGTTGAGTTACTAGAAGTTAGGCGCGTATCATTATAATACATTATGCTGTAAGAAGTTATTAAGGGATATGTGTACCTACCTAAGACAAATGCAGAAAAAATATTATTGAAAAATAAAATTGGCCTAATCTTTTCATATCTTGATTCAGACTAGCGTGGTCACTGGGCTAACCGATGCGCGAAATAGGAGGGCATATATACCGCTCGGGGCAGTTGTCGGTTTGTATAAGTAGGTTGTATGTGGTATTTGTTGTGTGTTGTGCAATTGATCAGTGCTTGTATGCGCGTGTGTACGTACAGTGTTGTGTGTATGTCGATGTCGTGAGTGAATGTAACCGCGCGGTGGGCAGGAAAAAAACTGCTGTTTTCTTTTTTCAAATGTTTATCACTTTTTGTTTTCGTCGCTAGATGGGGGTTGTCGCCGCCCAATTTGAAAAGTGTGGCGGTTGGTGATCTATAATTATTAGAGGGCTGGATGCCATTAGTCCATCCGTCGTGTTGATCGCTCCGAGTCGTTCGGTTCCGCTGGCAGCTGTGGCTGTGTCGCCGTGTTATGCTGCCTGATTGCAACAAAAGGAGGTTAGGCGGCTTCCCCAGCGCGTGTTCTAGGTGCTGAATGCCGCTGTTCACGCACAAACGTTCATGAGTGGATAACGCACGTAACAGAGGTGAGCACAGGCAATTGTTAATCGAGAGCCACACGGAGCGCGAGTGCGATACCTCCTAGCCGCTGTCGACAGAGGGTGTCTGAGCGATTCGTTGTCAACTTGTCCACGGCAAGTGGGCGTTTTGTTCAATAAAGCCAGCCTGTCAGTGTTTTGTAAAGCTATCCCTTCTTTATAAGCGCTTCTGATGCGATGATAATGCGACCGGCATTGAGCAGGCCGAGCGAGACTTCGGCGATAGTCTCGTCTGTTCAGTCTCCTGCGGTTTCGGCCTTACTCGTATTATTTGCGGTGTTGGCGCTTGGACATAGAGATGTTTGGAAAGTTTTTTGCGCCTACAGATGCCACCAAACGAGCGTGCGAGCCGTATGCTCTTGCTCCGGCGAGAAGCCGCGTACGGCTCGCCAGGCTCGTATCGCCTGTCGCATACTGGCCGCCATATTGTTTTTAGGGTGTTAGCAGTTAACACGATTTTCACCACCTCCGGCGGCTAACACCCTTACACGAATAAAGGCGTTAGCCAGAGGACGAGCCATTTACACGAATAAGGGTGTAAAAATTTTAAGTGTGTACGGCATTTACGTGGATTCGCCGAACAAGTCCTGCTACGGTTTGAGTGACATGTGTGGCGATGACACTGGTCGATTATCGATAGACCTCTCTCTCGACAGAGAGAATTAAAGTTCGTGTTCAAATTTTTTCGTGACAGATATTGTGGGACGTATGGATACGACCGACAGTTGAGAAACAACTTATTTACGGGCTTTCTTGGTCATATGGGACGCAAATAAAGTGCTGCAGTCGAATTTTTTTTTTTTTCGTGATAAATGGCATCTTTTTCGTCGTTATCCGTGTGCGGTTGCGTCGATATCTGTAAATATGCGTGGTAATATATTCTAGTTTTCTAACAAGTTTGTGTAATTATACAAAGTGCGTTGTCTCTGCTTATGTGTTTTTTATACTAATGTTATTTGATCGCCTTTACCACGTTTATACTAGAATCTTAACTATTAAGATAATAGTATTATTGTATACAAAATAAGTTATATTTTGTTCTAAGGCAGCTCCAGCCCATAGGGAGAGGTAATGTAAATAGTAAGTTTAGTACCCCTGCCAGACGTAAAAGTTAATATATTGTAATTAAATGATATAGGACTTAATCAGCTCGCGGTCTCGAGGGATTATACGAGCGTCGCAAGCTGAGTTGTCGACCCCATAATGTCATCCGATCGAAATTACATTACTTTTGCCATCTGGCCGGGGTATAATGCGAGAATTCAGTGACTGCACGCGATAACATCGTTTACATGATCGTAGGTGAACCTTGTTTAGCCGTGTCCGCGTTGACTACGTCTACCTGATTTTCAACAGTGATCTGTTTTGCTGTGTCCAATTACTGCGTGTCTCGCCATTTCGTCGAAGTATTTCTGTATAACATATGCAGTCCTGCAGCAATAATTGCGTGACTCAATGTTTTCTCTTATACACCTACCTCGTGCCATTTCATAGCGATTATTTAGTGGTGTAATATTTTCCCCGTGTAATAAACTGTTTTCTAGACCCGTTGCTATGTGCAGCTTTTATTTTAGCTAATGAGACACGCGTATGTGACTAAAAGCGCGTTACGACGGTCGGTCCACGCGCGTTGCCTTCGCTTCGACGCGCGCTCCGAATGGTCTTCCTTCGCGACGTCACGAGAAGAGCTCTACAGCCTTCTCTTCCAGGAGGTGTTGGGCCGCCGCGTCAGCGGTGTCCAGATTAGAGGGAGGGGAGGGAGGGAGAGAGAATGGGAGCGAGGAATTCCCGCTCCGTCTGCTAGGCTCAACGCCGCACTCCCTGCCCACTCCCTGCCATACCTCGGCAAACCTCACTCATGACTGCCCTCACTCACCCTCACTCACCCTCATCTTCACAGGTGAGGTGAGGGTGAGTGAGTTTCTGAACCAGGAAAATTCATGAGTGTGAGGGTGAGTGAGGGCCGTGAGGGCTGTGAGGGCGGTGAGGGCCGTGAGGGCGGTGAGGGCCGTGAGGGCCGTGAGGGCCATGAGGGCGGTAAGGGCCATGAGGGCGGTGAGGGCGGTAAGGGGTATGAGGGCCATGAGTGCGTGAGGGGCGTGAGGGCCATGAGTGCGTGAGTGGTGTGAGGGCGGTGAGTGCGTGAGGGGTGAGAGGGCCATGAGTGCGTGAGGGCAGTGAGTGGCATGAGAGGCGTGAGGGCCGTGCGGGCCGTGAGGGCGGTGAGTGCATGAGATGGTGAGGGCCATGAGTGCGTGAGGGCGGTGAGTGCGTGAGGCCCCCTTCAGATCAAGCATCTTTCTCAGCAATTTTGGTGTTAATGGCGGGTTGTTCTCCAGCTTTCCCTAGATCGACACGAATTGCTGAGATCGGGTCCGGCTCGAAATAAGCAAGCAACTCGGAGCAATTCGAATGCGTTTGAAGCGGCTGCATTCAATCAGGGACGGAAAATTTTCACCTGATACCTCGTGCCGGTGATGATGACACCGAAAGACTTGGTTCTGGTTTGAAGTCGATTGTCTTTTTGGAAATAAACTGTTTCAGAAAGGTGCATTAGTATTCTATACGAGATTTAAATGCATAAAAACACGTTTATAACGCGTAATTGTGTCTAAATAGTGCAAGAAAAATAAAATTTTATGATGACGATGGAAAATTGCAGCAATTGGTTGCTGCGTGTGATCGCGGGCGGCCCGTGTTGCTGGTGTTGCGACGTAAAGTCTCTGGGCGAAATTGCCCCATCTGAAGCTGGCCTGAGTGGAGTAAGGGCCATCAGTGCGTGAGGGGCGTGAGGGTGTGAGGGCCGCAAGGGCGGTGAGTGGCGTGAGGGCGGTGAGTGGCGTGAGGGCGGTGAGGGCCATGAGGGCGGTGAGTGGCGTGATTGCTTTGAGTGCGTGAGAACCGTGAGGGCGGTGAGGGCCGTGAGGGCGGTGAGGGCGGTGAGGGCGGTGAGGGCCGTGAGGGCGGTGAGTGGCGTGAGGGCGGTGAGTGGCGTGAGGGCGGTGAGTGGCGTGAGGGCCATGAGTGAGTGAGGGGCGTGAGGGCCGTGAGGGGCATGAGGGCCGTGAGGGCGGTGAGTGCGTGAGTGCCGCGAGGTTCAGTGAGGGTAAGTGAAGGGCTGAAGGTGAGTGTGACTGTGAGGGTGAGGGTGAGTGAGGGGCTGAAGGTGAGTGTAGCTGTGAGGGTGAGGGTGAGTGAGGGGCTTAGGTGAGTGTGGCTGTGAGGGTGAGGGTGAGTGAGGGCGACCTAAAATGCCGACCTCTGCTCCCTGCCGGAGCTGCGGCCTTTCCTGCTCCTCTCGGCGCCGAGGAACATCGCGGCGCCTGACGCAATATATCGCCGGCGGCCGCAACCTCGGCAGTAGTGAAACGTGGCCGTCCGCGTTAGCACTCAGCGGCGTTCAATTAGACATTCATGCTTTCGCCTTTACTACTCTAAAAAGTGCTCAGGTATTCTCGGAATGTTTACTGTTATTGATTGAAACGATTACGATGTACTTTTTTTTTATTTTGGGACGGTTTTGTAGCTTGATCGGGTAGAAAAGAAAAGCAAACAGAGAACTCAAAGAGTTGTCAGCATACCCTTTGCGGTAATGTTTTCTTTGACATTATTACTTTAATAGTAATATAATTGTAGTACAAGAAGGTACGCGACCGGTTGTATTTGCTTTATTTGTGATTAGAATACTTTTATTTACGCTTTGGGTATAAACCGTGTTTTTTTTTTTAAACGAAGCACCGTCAGTCACTCTACCGATCGGTGCCAATAGTGCGCGAGTAACTCTGTGCGTCACGCGACGGGCTTTTGCGGGCACATATCTTAGATCCACAAATATCGCCACGTATCGCCAGGTCGTGTGTCATGCGGAGCGCCGCGCGCTGCCTAGTTTCACCGCACATATATACTCTCCTTACGGCTCTCTTCCTATTTTCAAGCGATCCGTCTTCTAGCATGAGATTCGCCCTTCTATATGTATTCACTGGTATTTCCGATGCAACGCGCGAAGGATGCGACCATTCCACGTGACCAACGCAGGAGATTGCGAAACTTCCTGTGCTCCCTGTATCAGCAAGGTTATAGAATATGTGGATTGCTTCATTCCGCTCCCCTTGACAGCACAGTCTGCACGCCAACTCCTCGCCTTTGAGATAAGCCGATAAAGACGGCAAAGTATCGGATTCAACGCATTCTCTTCGGCATTCCGGCCGCACTCTCAATACGCGAGTTTATGAACTATAACTCTGGAATACGTCAACGGTGAGTGAACGGTATCGAATCTCTTTTCTCATTTTGCCTTCAAACAAAGTTGAGAGCCGTGATGGTCCGCCATCACCGCTGCCGGAATAATGGCGTATTGCGAGACACACCACGCGTATGAAGTTGTTTGATGTAGTGTTTCCTGTGGCCCTCGGTCTTGTGCTGTTTTATTTAACTCGCCCAGTTTTAAGTTAGCTCTCGGTCCGGGCGTCTTGGTTACTTGTCTGTTGTTGCTACTTTCATTATTTCCAGTTAGACTTTAAAGGGCCACTCCGGTCGAAAACGAAACGAAAATAAATGACTAATATCGATTTAGACGCACGAAATATGATCACAGTCGACATATGAGACAGTTTTAGTATAGCGTTGCTGACTTTTACGTACGCAATACGCAATAGTAGAGCCTACGCGAAAATCGATCTGCCTTGACCGATTTTAGTTATGCGTTACTTTGCCGGGTGAACATCTCGCATAATGTTTTTGATGCAATTTGCTACAGCCATAGAATTCCGCGTACCCATAGCCAGTGGCGTCACTAGGGTCAAGGGCACACGGGGCGGTCCGCGGCAACCCCCCCCCCCCCCTCTTGCGGCCCGCCGCGACAAGCCCCCGGAGCGGTCGGTCCCCTCCCCCTCCCCCCGTACCCCCCTTGTGACGCCACTGCCCATAGCGCCACCATGCTCCTCAAAAGATATATTGAAAATGAAAACGTTTCCGATAATTTTATTTCAAATTAAACCAAGCCGCAACTGCCTGGTCAAGCGCGCTGTTCTGCGGGAGTACGGAGGCTACGAGTACGAGTTCGTAGCCAAATTCGATCACGGGCGGAGCACCCGTTAATCGTCCCATGGAAACCGCACCTTTTATCAATGCTATCGCGGGAAGAAATCCATGACCTACTGATGTCCTTATGACCTACTACGGCCTCATCAGTTCATGCAGAAATTTCTTCGCGTACTTCGCCCTTTCAGCACCTCCCGCGTCATCCTTGCTCAGTGTGTCATAGCCCAAAGCCTGAAGCCTCGAGGCGAACGCTCGCACCTCCTCCTCCGGGCTCTGTCGCGCCTCCAAAAGTCTGGTTAAGCGCACAGAAGGCGGGTCAGTGTCATAGTACGCCAACGCGAGTCTCTTATGGTAAATTTCGCTCGCAGATCTCGAGCGCTCCAAAAGCGCTCCGTTTGGAGCGCGCATATTCCGCTCGCAGATCTGGCTCGAGCTGGTCATCTTCCCCTCGTAGATCTCTGGCAACGCCCGCTCCACAGAGCGCCTCAAACCCCGACGAGCTTGCTCTGCGGGATTTCAGAGATCTTTCCGGAAGTTGACAGAGCGCTTACGTCATTTTCTTCTAAATCCGCAGTGCGGATGCGCGACTAGGATGGCGAGGTCGGCGGGCCGGTCAGGCCACTGTCGGGTCGTCCAGTTGGATCTGCCCGGGTGCTTCGGTTGTTTACGTCGGATTGTGACGGCTCGAACGCTTCTACCTCGCGTAGATCAGGGATACAAAGCCGGGACTGTGGAGCGTGTTAAATCGTAAGCGCTGACATCTGTGATAGAGAGAGGAAGAACGCCAGAAAAGCCGTAGGCAGACGCAAGGTCAGGCCTGTTCATTCTGCAGCCAATGATTGTTTATCTTTTTACACTGCATTCTGCCGGTGTTTTCCCGTGCAATAAAGCAAGAAGAGATTAGGCAACGGCCGTGCAAGTGATGGTTTGGTACCTCTGTGTTTATTAAAGTCGTACCAGAAATCTGAACTCCACCGCTGGCAATCGCTGTCCGTGCCCCGCCGCTTCGACGCGGCCGAAAGGTATGTGACGGTGCCGAACGCGGACGTCTTCGTTATTGGCGACATGGGCGCCGTGGTACGTATAATTTCGCCCGGCCTGTGTCGCGTGTTATTTCTGCGTCGGAAAAATCAGTCGGCTGAAGGGGTGTCCAAACAGGACACTACAAACCGACAAATCGTGAAAATTGAAGCCGGCGCGTAGCGGGCGCGTCCGCTTCAATTTTCACAATTTGTCGGAGTCGTGCGTTTTGTAGTGTCCTGTTTGGACACCCCTTGAGGCGTTGGTGGGCTTGTCAAGTGCAAGCAGCGGCCATTTTGAACGGCGGAGCGGGAAGTGGTGGGGAGGGGTGTGGGGGAGGACGCTCCAAAAATGCAAGTTTATCTTCCCCTCGTCGATTCGGACCGGTTCCCACGGAGGGGAATGTTGCCTCCCTCGCGGATTTTGGAAAGCGCTCCGGATCTACGAGTGGAATTCACCATTAAACTCGGAGAACGATTAGGCCAATTTGACGTTTTCGTCCCTCCAAGCAAAGCCAAACGCCGCTCCGATCATCCTGCATTTCGCCATACCAAGAAGCTGCCCATCTGTCCAATTCACCATTTCTGCCACCTGCCGAGCATTGCGCAATAATCTCGAATGGACGGCCCGTTTCCATTCCCGGTAAAGTTCTGTACGACGCCGGCGAGAGCCAACATACTTGCGTCCATCGGAGGCAGAGCACTGGGGGTTCTGTCCATATTAAACCCCCGTAATTGCGTCCGTGTTGCGAGCTCCTCCAGTTAGGTGGTTTATCCCAACTGAGACTCAGGTGACCCCACTTCTGAGACCAATCTGTCAGAAGTGGGGTCACCACTGCCGTCTTCATGGTTCACACAGGACTCAGGAATTCACAGCCCTGATTGCAGGGTTAATGTTTTATGCACTTTTCGAATTAATAAAACACTAATTAGGCTTTGATGATACGGGGCTCACACGTCCTGCCGTGTATCTCTTGGGGACTTGCGGTGCTCGCAGGGGTTCCGCAACAGTCCCAGCTCCTAGGCGATGTCCTTCTCCCGTCTCTGACTCGATATCTCGCGTCGTCTCGCGTCTCGCGGGGTCCCCTCTCCAGCGGTCTTGCGTCCTGGGAGTCCTTCTCCCAAACTCCGCAATTTCTCGGCCTTCTACGAGTCGGTGTTCTTCCCCCGTACGGCGAGCTGCTTTTTCTCGGGCTTCCGTCGACGCGAACCCGCCAACCACTGTCTCTCCCTTCAGCAGTTCATTCTCCCCCTCTCCCCAATTCCACGAAGTCGACGTCACTACCATCCCGAAACCCCCGGTCTGCCAATGGGTCCGTCCCGTCTGCCAGAGTATCTGGACCCGCACCTGCAAGCCGTCACGGGACCAAGGCGGAGCGGGGGGGGCGGGCTGGGGGGGGGGGGGGGGGAGGCAACTCTGGTCCTGGTTCTATTCCGGAGGCAAGCCTCCAGAATAGAACCAGGACGAGAGTTCAGTTTGCCAGTGCGTCCGGAACCGCACCTGCACGAAGTTATCGGAGCGAGAAGCAACGGGACGTCCGACACCCCTCGTGCATCACTCGGTCGCTGGTGGTATGACCCCTCCCCAACTCGACGAGGTGGGCGAAGCCAGCTGGAATGCCGTGCTCGGAAGTTTCCCAAATAAAGTCAGGACGAGACACAGAACATCACACTCGCCACCACATAAAACGAGAAATGTCCCCATGTGGATCATTTCTAAAAGTCGCCCAACGTTCCGCACGCACCGCCCCGCATCCGCAGGTTAGTCTATTGACCACTCTTGGGTAGAAGAAACATGGCCCCACTGGCTACTAGGAGTACACGGGAGTCTGTTTTGCGTGTCTCACCACAGCCTCACACATCAAAACCCAACAATACATTCAAAGCTTCTCGACTTGTTTCGATATTAGGAACTTGGAGGAACTCCCACCCTGTTGCAAAAATACAATAAGGTCGTAGTGATTAACACAACTAAAAATGATACATTACACATCCCAACTTAGGTGGGTGCTCAACCCACCACGACTTCTAAGCGGGTAGCGGCATGGCGGTTTAAGTGGACTAACGAAAAGTGTCACCCCAACTTTCTCAACATTAGTGTTTGCTAGCTGGGAGGTTGACATCATAGGTAGGCTTTGTAGCGCTTCCTCTACGGCAAGCAGTGCCTGAAAAGCTCCGACTGGAGGTCAATGGCAGCGTGGTCGCTTTGTGAAACAGCGTTCGGCTGGCTGTCATCCGCCCCTCTCTGTCCGAAGCCCGCTGCAGACCGCCTCCCTCCTGCCGGTCGGAAGCTGGTGATTCCGCTTGATGAAGAAATTTACGGTGGTCTGCCTGCCGGTCGGAAGCGTTTGATTCCGTGTGATCAACAAATTTAAGGCGATTTGCGTGCACGGTTGCTATAGTCCCTCCTGTTATTTCTCTTACCCTAAATGTCACAGGCGATAGCTGTTCTATGACGCGATAATTTCCCCTCCATTTTGGACTCCACTTCTTGGCCGGACCACCCTTCCCCGCAGTTGCTCTACGTACACCCTGTCCCCGACCCTGAACAAAGCCCACTGAGATCTCTTATCAAAATGCCTTTTCCTTCGCGACACCACTTTCTTCACAGTCTCCCTCGCGATGTCATACGCAATCTGGAGGCGAGAGGTCAGCTCAGTGCGGTAATCGTCTGAAGAGCCATAGATAACTCTGCGCGGGCCGTCTATCACTGCAGTCGGCACGTCGGTGTCATGCCCATGTAACAGGTAAAACGGCGACTCATCACAGCTCCCATGAACCGCGGTATTGTACGAGAGCACCATGTACGGGAATCACAAATCCCAGTCTCGTTGGTCTCGAGGTACGTGGTACGAAAGAAGTCTCGCGAGTGTCTGGTTGAGCCTTTCGACCGCTCCGTTGCATTCCCGGTGGTAAGGCGTAGTCTGCCTTTTGTCTACACCCAATAACTCGAAAATGTCTCTCATCAGCCTTGAAACAAAATTTGTGCCCCGATCTGTCAAAAGCTGTCTCGAAACTCCATGTCGCAAGACGATCTTGTCGACGAATGCTCGCGCAACCGTCTCCGCCGTTTGATCTGAAAGCGCCACTAGTTCGGCATACTTGGTCAAGTGGTCGGTGAAGACAAGTACATACTTATTTCCCTTTGTGGTGGTGGGGAGTGGATCCATTATGGTCCATAGCCTTTCGTTCGAAAGG